GACGCCTCTTTTAGAGGCGTTTTTGCAAGAAAGCCTGCCAAAACTGACAGTTTTTTTCAGATTTGACAGGCTTTCCCCTTCTCATTTTTGCAAACAAACAGCCCCTTAACTATTCACTCTTATTTTTCCTAAAACCAAACGCAGAGAAGCGCGCGTGCTGACCGTGCTGTTGGGTGTTTAAATGAATTTCTATTTTTTAATTTATAAAATGTTGATGTCAGATACTTAACAACGAGGTTTTAGACAGACTATAAAAAGTTTAAGGTCCCTTGATCTTCTTTGGTGGCTGATTATTGAGCAGATGACTTGATCCTGCACGCAAACAATGCATGAGAGGGTTAGAGTTGAATTTTCCGGGTGTTCCGTTGACGGTCAAGTCAGTATTGATCTTAAGTGGAGGTAATATGAGTACTATAGGCTTTTGGGTAGAAATTGCGTACCTCCATGCAGTAGGTGATGTGCCTATTTATAGTAGAATCTAAAGGGTATTTGTGTAATATTGACCGAGTCCATGCAGGCAGCTTAGTCAGCTGGTATCATACAGGTATTGACATCGAGTGATCTGAGTCCCATATTTATTGTGGCAACGAGAGAGGGACTGCGGTGCTAGCATGCTCCAATGAGTCATTATGACTCCAGGAGAGATGTAACAATGGCTTTGACTTTTGCATTCAATGTTATGGTGGCTGGCTGTCGGTGAGGGGTTCGAGAAAGACCGCCTTTTATCTCAGTTTTTCGAGGAGGCCAAGAAAAGATGCCATCTAATTCGTCCGCTCAGATGAGAGGGCTTCCTTCTTCGATTCATCAAGGTCGATTGGTACTTCTTGCAGTTCTTCTATGGGGTCGTCTGCTCCCGTTCTCGACCTTCCTGCATTTGTAGGTGGATCTTCTCGATTGGTAGGGTTTCTGAAAAACTCATTTTCCTTTTATTGAGAGCAGATAACGTGATCTGGCCTCTCGCTGATTGCTTCATACGGACCCAACTCCTTCTGGGGTTAAAAACGTTATCATCTGATGATAAGTGGATGAGACGCCTATAAGTTGTTCAAGAAAGTCTTGTCGAGAATAACGTCGTAGGCGGACTTTACGTCCATCACAATGAACTAGGTTTAGACTGTAGACTGGCGAGATTTTTTGTTGACCACTAGGGGAAGAGTGATCGGTCCCTCTGGTTGAACTGAATGTCCTGAGAACCCAATGAGAGGACTCGCGTAAGACCATCTCCAACCCATTGCACAAAAATAGTGCAAATTTTACATCAAAATGGTGCAAAAGTCACATCTAACAGTAATTCATCTCCAACCCACTGCACCATTTTTTACACCAAAAAAGAATATTTTCAGTATATTCATTTTTACCTATTTTTATATTATTATTTTCTATTCCCTATATTTTTAACTATTTTAACAATTAACCCCACATATCAAATTTTATTTTTTTCACATATTCATTTTTATCTACTTTTAATTATAATGTCTAGATTTTAATATTATAATTAATAATAATGTCTTTTAAAATTTAACATTATTTTTTATAATTAAAAAATAATTTATTTTGTCCAAATTATACAATTGGAGTAAAATTATAAAATTTAAATATTATTGGGGTTATTTTATAAATTTAAATAAAACATGAATAGTAATGAAGCGATGAACAGTGCGACTCCATATTTGGTGCAGCACTGTTTAAATGCACCAAAATGGCGCAGGAAATGGGGCAGGATTGGAGAAAGAATAATGCAAAAAAATGCACTGTTTGCACCATTTTGATGTTGGATAACCCTAAGGCCGTAAATCTAAAATGATGCCTTCATGTGGTTGAAGGCATCCACAAACACAAACATTATTTGAAAGGCAAAACAGAAAGTTGATGTGGTAATAAAAATTTGGTGAACGTGAGGAAGATAAATTTAGAAATATGCAAAATGAAAAAGTTTGGATACGAGAAAAATGGGGTTGGAAATATCAATTGCCCTGAAGACCGAAGGATATAGGTGACGAGGATGGGTCGATGACTGGAGCCGAAGAGTACGGGAAGTGGAACCGCCGTAAACTAATCGCCTTACGCTGATACCCTCACCCTATCTATCAAAGCTACGTCTCTAGCGAAAAGGAGCAAATCAGCAAAAAAAACAGGAGTGAGAGTATCAAATAGGAGGTGAGGCTACCGGTTGAACCCCGCTGGGTACAATTGGGTTGAGGCGAGGCCCATCAACGGGAGGCCCAATGCGCAAGGTGCACAGATAGCTTCAATTCCGAAAATACCCCTAACTTGAGGGGCAGAAAGGGAAGAAAGGGTTCCGATAAAGCCTGCTATTTCAACCCCATTTCTGCTTCATCGCCCTTTGCTGCTGAGCGCTTCCTTCTTCTTCTTCCTCCTCCTCCTCCTCTCTCTTATCTTTTCTTCTTTCTTTGTATATCGTAATTAATAATCATTAACCCAATTAATCTACTGCTTTCTTATCGTTCTCGTTAACGAGAGGAAGAAGTGCTCGATGTCTCTCTCGGCTTGAGGTTTGATTGGTCCGTTGGAGGTCGCCATTGATGAGAGGTTCTTGAGAGAACCATGCGATGTTGTGAGAGATTGGCGCTGTGCGAATCCTCTTTGCATTGGACATGATGAGGTCTCCTCAGATCTCTGCCTCGTTTCTTCCTTCCTCGCTGTTTTCTAAATTTTACGAACCGAGTTTTCTCTCTTGTGGTGATTTTGCTTCTGGTGGTTTGCTTTTTGGGTTCAAATCGAGTTTTCTCTCTCGTGGTGATGTATTGTATTTGTAACAGATTGAGCGTCAGTTTATGACAAATCCGAGGATTTTATCTGGTCACTCTTTTTTTTTATTCCTCTACTTCTGGCCGATTGGTTCTTCTCTGCAAACCGAAGATCTTCATTCTCTTGGAATTTTGATGTGATTTCTTTTTTTATACTGTAGAGATTTGCTCTGGCCTTTGTGTTAATATCTTTTTGGTATGAACTTGGATCTTCTCCTTGCCGTGAAAAGGGTTCCCCTTTTCCATATATTTTCCCTGGATTTATGATTCTGTGCAAGGTAAATTAAATCTCCGTTTTCAGTAGTAATGGGTGCGTACGGATTTGATTGGATTGCTGTTTTCTTTTGCAGTTTTCCTAATTTTCCTTGGCTCTTGAGGTTTCTAAAAGAATCCTTGTCTTAGTATTTTCGTCCTACTACAACCCCATCTATGGAGGGAGTAACTCTTTACTAATGTCTAAAATATTTTTTCAGCAATTGCAATTTCATAGATTGGGATGCTCTATAGTCAGAACCCTGTGATATCCGTTTCATCTCCAATTTTTTTTTTTTTTTTTTTTTTTTTTGTTTGGATCTGATGCAATTATCATATTTCTTCCGATTTTAACCCCCTCCCGTTTTTTGGCCTTAGCAGATACCAGAGAGTGAGCCCAGATTGCCTTGTGCTGCCCAGCGGCCGAAAAGCCACCATCAAGAGCTTCAAAGACGCCGACGACGCCGACGCACGAATCTCAAAGGACAACTACCCTCCCTTCGACGCCAAACCCCTCCGCGTCCGATCCGGGTCCGGATCCGCATCCGGATCCGCGAACCCAGCTACCCAAACGCACGATCCGCAGACCCATGATCAACCTGAGGTCAACGGGCGATGCTCTGATGTGCTATTGCAGTGGGGGCACAACAAGAGGTCGAGGGGCTCATGTCGACCTCCGACTCCGATACCGAACCCGACCCGTCGCCGGTGCCCCAATCAATCACCGTCGCCGGAGCTGAGAGGATCGCCGCGGCGGTGGCTGCGGCGATGCCTCCGCCGTGTGGTGGGGGGTACAGTAGAGGATCTAATCTTAGGGCTTGTATGCCCTCGAGAGATTCCACGAGTACCCATCATAATAGGTAAAATTTTTTTTTCAAATTTCCCTTTATTCATTTTTTTGTAATTTTAATTTTAGTTGAGAGAATAAATCGGGTTGTTGGGTTTTCTGCTTCTTGTTTCCCTCCTGTTGCTGGTAGTGGGTGTTATCTTTATTTTTAAAAGAATATTTTATACTCTTTTGGATGCGTTGAAGAATTTAACTTTTCTTTCTTGATGGGTTATCTCAACTAGATTTTTGCCCCTTACTCTTTGAGTTTTTATGAAAGCTTTCATAAAAAAAAAAATTCTATTAAAAAACTATGAAAGGTTTTATTTACTAATTTTTTTTCCCATCCATTAGTGTAGCTATCTTTCTGATTTATCTAGAATAGATATACTTCGTCATATTTTGACTCTGTTCTTAAACGTAGGTTACTAATAAGTTAATATTTTGCAGTTCTCATAACAAATAAAAAGATAAATTGTCTTTTTTTCTATATCCTCCCAAATTTCATATCCGAGTCAGATCAAGTCAGATCTGTTGTTAGCTATTTATGACTTAAATTTTGCTAATTTCATCTTTATTTTACCTATTTTTTACCATTAATTCCCTCAATTTTAATCTAATTTCCCCCTTCTAACCTGTAGAATAGTACTGAATCAAATACTATATAGAGCTAGAGACCACCCGTCTCCTTTTATAGCTCCCGTTGCCTCTGCCCTGCTGATAACGAGCCATACCTTTTACCTGCACATGATCAGGTGCGCGTCGAAGAACAGATCGCCAACGGCACCATAGCGACCGGCGACAAGCGATCTCGCGCCCGTGCTGCCGCCCGAAGAAGCCCGCGCCGCAGCAACACTTGCAAGGGGCCGCGCGCCGCCTCCAAGCGGCCTTCGGGTCGGCGCCTTCCGTCGTTCGTCGATGAGCCGAACCGTCTCGAAGCACTCGGTCGGGACCACGACGTACGCGGTCGTCAGGCGGCAGCGGTGGCGCCACGCCGGCAGAGCGGGAAAAGGTGAAGGCCTCCAGCACCTCGAGTGGCCGAGGATTTATGTATCTTTATCGAGGAAGGAGAAGGAGGATGATTTTTTGGCGATGAAGGGGACCAAATTACCCCAGAGGCCGAAGAAAAGGGCCAAGAACATCGATAAATCTCTTCAGGTAGTAATAATGGTTTTTTAGTTTGCAATTTAGTGATTGTTAATCTGGGGTAGGTTCGTAATTAACTAATGCGTTTTTGGGTTTGGCGTGCAGTACGTTTTCCCAGGGATGTGGCTCTCGGATTTGACTAGGGGACGGTACGAAGTGAGGGAGAAGAAATGTGTAAAGAAGGTAGTAGTTTTATTTTTCTTGAAAGTCCGGGGGGTTCCACGTAAAAAACGCTTCTTCAATTAAGTTTTTTAGATATTATTATATCCAAGGGGTTGGCGGGGGAGGAGCGCATCTTTTCTTTCGTGCCTCACTTTTTTCTTGTGTTGTGCTCGCTTTTGCTCCGGGGCCATTATGACAGCGGCACCCACTCCCGTGACCCATCTGTGGGGACTGCGGAGTGGGGCCCCATGTGATGGGGTTTCTCTTCTGTTCTTGTGAGATGTTGCGAGTGGGTGAAACTTCGGGTGTGCGGCCATGATTGATGCGCTTCCCTTCCATTTTATTTTTTACGAGTAATGAGGACTTGCGGGGGACATGTAAGGACGTTAGATAGGGAAAACAGGAAGGGAATAAGGAAAGTTGTCGAAAATGAAAATAATAATAAATTTCAAAATGAAGAAGGAAGAGTTCTCTGCAATTCTTGTTAATATCGTAGACAAGTCAATCTTAATCTGTTTCCTTATTTGAATTGTTATTTGTTTATTTTATTTTTTGCAGAAAAGAAGAGGATTAAAGGGCATGGAGAGCATGGACAGCGATTCAGAATGATGGAATGGGTTATAATCATACACATGTATTTATTATGGTCGAGGTTTGAACGGGGGAGGGTGAAGCTTTTACATTGATAATTTCTGTACCCTTTAAATCTTGAGAGGATCGCTTCCCATTTATGCTCTTCAATTACTTCTTGTCTTTTCTTTTTCTTTTTTTTAATTTAATTTTTTGCTTGAGTTAAGAGTCGTGGAGTCGGCGAGTTGGGTTTATTCTCCAAGTTTTTGAAGGGACGGATGGATAGAAGTATATCCTATTCCTTCCCCTACGGGGGAGTTAAAGAAGCGGAGCTCTCATATTTATTTATTGTACAGAGATCTTTCTTACTTCAGTCAGTGGTCATTGAGAAATAAAATAAATAAAAATATTAAATATCGCTAAGATTTTAATTCTCACTCTCCGCACTTGGGGTCAAAATATCAAATATTCAGAACAAAGAACGAATAGCTGGTCCGAATAGTTGGCTAGAGGGCTGAGAAATACCGTTTTTACCGTTTTTTTAGTCGGTTTCGTGAGATGTGGTCCGAATAGTTGGTCGTGTAAGTCGCTTGTAGAGTCGATCTGGCGATGAAGTCGACACGTACCGCCTTTTGAGCCAGCTACGCGGGATATCGACCCTTCAAGTCGTCCGAGCTGGGGACTTTTGGTTATCTCGAAGTGGTGAATTGATTTAATTAGACAGTTAATATGAGACACTTGTCTGCTACTGAATGAAGATTATTATTCAATTTATTGAAGCACTGTAACAGCCTCCAAATCAACTTTGGAAAAATATCTTTCAACTCAACAAATCATCAACGTTGATAGATTTGTAATGCGTAATTTTAACAAAATAGTTAAAATTTTAACCGTCATACCCAAAAGAGTTTATGATATCTCCTTGTAATTTTGTAAATACTGAGATTCAATGATAGACTTGCACATGCACATGAGCGAAGGGGGCATTATATATAAAAATAATCCTAATGCTATTCGAGAGTGTTCTGTTACCCCCTTTCAAATTTTTTGTGTTTGACAAATTAAAAGGGATAATCTCATGTTTTCCACTTGTCAAAGATAACACGCATGATACCGTATCATTTGGTCCTCTTACCACTTGGCAATCGCGACGAGCATCGTCTTACCAGATTTTTGACGCATTAGAACGATATGCTATGCTCCTTTGCAATCATCAGTCACATTTTCACAAATCACGAACAAATACCTCCAACCGACTCTTTTACAATCACACTTGGACGCTCGAGGCTTATTAGGTCCGGTTGGCCCCCATCGACTTCAAGAACTTTTAAAATTACACTGGATTAGACCAGAATAGATGCCACGCCCGAGGACTCCAGTGGCATCCGTTTTGATTTTGGGGCGTCCTTTGACCCCTCGTGTGTAGCATTTAATAACTTGCCCCGTTGATGATAACCACCGGTTATTTTATGTCCTCGGCTTGTTTTAGGCTTTGCTTGCTGTCTTTTCCCGGGTTTTTTCAGTCCTTTTTCGTCACATTGGTTTTACTTCAAACGCAGTTTCGGAGAAGGAGCCGATACAATTTTACCTCAGCTGTCCTTTTGAGCGGGGACGGCCGCAGTACGTTTGGTATTTTAAGGGGGTGTTTGGTTCATTCCATGTTAAAGGGCCTGTTTGTTTCGCTCGAACTACAAAAAATTAAAATCGAAAACATCATCGAAGTCATATTTTCCTTGTATTTGTATAGATTTCCTCAAAGTAGTTGTTTCTTTGTTTGTTTCATGTAGAAAACATGTGTGTAGAAATATACTCCTTACATTTCCTCAATTTCCTATGATTTGTTGGGGAGTCACAGCTTGGAAAAGGAAACAATAAAAACGCAATTTCCAACATTACTTTTATTTGGTTGAAGACGAAACATGATGGAAATGTAGAATGTGGTCACCATGGTAAGTTCACCCCCAAAACAAAGACTTCTCCAAAATGAATGCCAATATATACATGCAGCCGCAACCCAAGCTATGTACATAACCAGCTTGAGGCTAAATAAACCCACATTTCAAGCAACCGATTGCTATAAATTAGCTCAAAAACCAACAAGAAGTTGAATAACTAATTATATATGCCGCAAACTAGCTATAATTTAGACAAAAAATTAACATCAATATGAATAACACCTGCTCGTAACTAAAAACCAACAATAAACTGATTCTAACAGCCGCAAATTGGCTATAATTTTGCTTAAAACCCAACATCAACCTGAAGACAAAAAGCCTCACAACAGCTATATGTTAGCCCAAATTAACAAAAACTAATATCAACATGAAGATACAGTCATAACAACGACTAAATTTGCCAACGACTACATTTTAGTTTTAACCCAAACTCCAACACGATATGACACATATTCCAACGGTAAAAAAAACAAGTAGCCCAACGGCTAAATTTGCTGCAATGCCTATATATACAAGCACCCAATATAAAGTAACCCCAACTGATCCATCATAAACGCCAAAAAAACAACAACATTTTCATGCTAATAATTGATGTAAAATAAACTAATAATCAGAAATTTTTAAAATTTGTAATTTTTACTTTGATTTTCGAAGTAACAACACCATAGAGTATGAGATCGACGATAATCGAGCAACGACTGCTAGATGTGAAGGACCAGCAAAGCTTAGATCTAAATTTTCTTGATTTTGGAAGTAAAAACACCACAGAATACGAGATCGAGGATGATCGAGCAACGAATTTTAGATCTGAAGGACCAGCAAAGCTTAGATCTAAAATATATTTTGAGAGATTACATCTCAGATCTAAAATCGGTTCTCACAAAATCAACGTCGGAAAAGCTCAGATCTAATAGAGTTTTTCGTCGACAGAGGCACGGAAATATGAAGCTCGACGAGTGAGACGGGAACAAAAATGAGGGGAGGGAACAATAGAGGGGAGGTGGTGATTTTAGGCCTAGCCAAATTTCTTTGATTTCCCCAACAAAGTTCCCCCCAAAAATTTTCCAAGCCGATTTCAAAGCTTCTGCGGAGGAAATGGGAGAAGGGGAAAAAAATCTGAGGTAGCGTATGATTTCAACATCCAATTTTCAAATCTGTAGCAAGAGCTCCTAAAAGGCCGAGATCCGATGTGTGATTTTTTTATAAGATAGACGTTGGCAATGATGGACATGGTAGGATCCTCACCTAGAAGGCTAAATATGCGTTATGCGGCCATACTTTCGAAGCTCATCATAAGAGCGGCACCAACCACCTCAAACGTCATATAGAAAAACACAACAAATGCCAGAATCCTTAAGGTGACATCCGACAATCTATGATTTTCCAATCCTTCTCTTCTGGTAGTCTCGGTAGTTAGAATTATGACGTTGTCCGAGCCATGAAATGCGTAATCAGGTTTATCATTCTTAAAAACCTTCCTTTTAAATTAGTAGAAGATGATAAATTTGAAGATATGTTTAGAGATGGTTTTTATCCCGCATTTACAAAATTTTCTCGTCAAACATGTCAACGTGATATTTTAAAATATTATCAGGAGGAACAATGACAAATAATTTCTTATTTTAAAATTTAAACTGTAAATTTTCTTTAACTTTTGATATTTGGACATCTAGAGCACAAACTGGTTATTTATGTATCACAGCACACTAGATTGATAAAAATTAGCAAATGTTTAAAAGAGCTGTTTCTTTTATTACAATTGAAGACTCACATAGTGGTATTAATATTACAAATTTAATAATTGAAGAACTTATGAAACTAAAAATTGATCAAAGAATATTTTCTCTTTCACTAGATAATGCAAGCAATAACAATGTAGCTGTTGATTTTATCAAAATAACTCTGTTATTGTCATGTCATGGTGATCTTTTTAATATTAGATATATCTGTCATATTTTAAATTTAATTGTTCAAAGTGCATTTACTAAAATTAAATCCATGATAGAAAAGGTTAGAACAGTTGCTAATATGCATAATGCTTCTGAACAAAGAATTAAAAGATGGAAACAACTTTGCGAAAGAAAAAGTTATAAGCCCGGACTAATTTCAAAAGATGTTGACCATAGGTGGAATTCCACATATGCAATGTTAAGTGTGGCAATAGAATATAAAAAAATTATAAATGATTTTATAAATTATTATACTTCTAGTTCTAGCTCTGGTAGCACTTATGGAATAACTGAAAATGAATGGATAATTATATGTAATTTAAATGAGATATTATAAGTTTTTTTATGATGCTACAACATTATTATCTGGCTGTTATTATCCAACTATTACTTTATCTGCTTTAAAAATTTTAAATATTCAAAAAATTATTAACAAATATCGTATGAATGATACTTTTGGAGCTATAATTTTTTAAATGGAAAGCAAATTTAATAAGCATTTTAGGTCTATTCCTCATATTTTTAGTTTAGGGGTTCTTATTGGTCCATGTTTGAAGGGTATTGGCATTCAAAGTTTGTTACAATCATTATATGATGAACAGATTATAGACTTGGATGATGGATCCACCCTTACTGCTACTTCTAATTATTTAGCTATTAGAAATTATTTTTAAACCTTATATGATGAATATGCAGCTAGATATGGTGTAGCTGCACCACAGTCTACAGCTTTGACACCTTCAAGCTCAGGCCGAGGTAAAAGTGTAAATTTTGATAGGTATGCAATGGTAGCTGAGCTAACTGGTAGATTTGGACTTGAATCATCATTAGAGGTTTCTGAAATAGATGAATATTTATCTGCTTCTTTAGTTAAATGTCAAGGAAATTCTTTAGATATTTTGTAATGGTGGAGAGTATATGGATCAGTTTCATATCCTCTACTTCCCACCATGGTTCGTGACTTACTAACAGTACAAATTTCGATGGTAGCTTCGAAATCCGCCTTCAGCACAGTATGACGTTTGATCTACGACTACAAGATATGCTTAGATCCGTATACTATATAAGCGGTGATGTGCTTACAAGATTAGTGGAGGTACGAGAAGTGAACGCAAGGCATCGATCAGATGACTGGAATTAAAGATAAATTTGAAGAGTTAAGACTAGCAGATAGATATAAAGATTAAAAAATATTCATCAAATTATAATTTTTATTTCTTAGCTTTAAATTTGTAATGAATTATTTTGGAAACAGTTACAAATGATAGTGATATAGGTGAGTAGGTGCCAACCTAGTTGGGATGTACTCATCTATTGTGATGCGACGAATTCCGAAATAAATTTATACTTGTAAATGATTTACTGATTATTAATAAAGAATTTTTTTTATCATCTTTTGTTTTTATAATTTTTTGTATTTATAGTTTATGTTATTTCCAGTTAT